GACTGACTCAGAATCTGCATTTTAGCAAGAACACCAGGTAATTTGCACATTGGGTCTGAGAGGCATTGCCCTAATACGCAGAGTTTTCTCCATCATCCCACAGCTTAAAATGCCCACCCTTCCAGCTACTTTTATTTATCACTTCCTACTTGTCCTTCAAAGCTTAACTCTGACCCCTCTCCATCTATGAGGCCCTCAATATTTACTCCCTCCACCTTACCCCTACAGGTCATGACTTTTTGAATTTAAACAAATGTTGAATGTTTCATTGTTTAAATGGTTTGGGTATTATTAGTCTAATTATTAAGATTACACCTTCCTCCAGAGGGCCTTGCACAGCCTTTGCACAAGACAGGAATTGTTTGATTCATCAAGATCTGTTTCCTGCTTGAAAGCTGTCCCTTAGCCCTGTCGTGTCTCTTTAAGATTCTTCTGCCCCAAAGGAGTTCCCCTCAGTTTTTGTCTTCTCAACACCTGAGGTAAATCTCCACCCACTCCAGAGATTTTCTAAAGGCGTGGCTCTTCTCTGTAACCGAGTAGGTTCCCACCAAACCACAACCTGCAAAAGGCATAAAAAGTAAAACAAAACAAAACAAAAAAAACAGACAAAAAAACCTAACCACTTGTGAATATTGACTTGGTACAAAAAAGTTTCCCTAACTTTTTAGTTTGAGATTATTTGGACAGAGAATTTTTAAAAATAAGTTTACTTTTGGGGATAGGATATTTTTTTTTCCTGCTTCACCATGGTGCGCACAGGAAACTTAGGACTGTCTCTGGCTCTCTCCAGGAATGTGCCATGCAGTGTTACCTCTTTTACTGGTCCTAGACCCTGAGGCAAGAGACACATCTTTGAGGCTTCCATCTCCCCAATTCCAGGAGGGAGCAGAAGGCACACATCCTAGCTTACCTATAAATCCCCAAACCTATCCAATGGATTATAGGATCTCTCCTAAGGCTTAGCACAAGGGGGTGTAGGAAGGAGAGCAGGACTCCACACTGACTTTCAACTTCCTGGTTTCCTTTCTGTGTCAACTTTTCATACCTTGAACAGCTTCTAGTTCCATCCTGACTCTCTATGTCCTTCAAGTGTATTCTTTATGGCATCAATTTGAAGTTCAAAAATACCCAGGTTCTGACAACTCAAAAGCCTTTTCCTCAAAGCTATTGTCCATGGGCATCAAGTCATTTTGATGTTCATTGGTAGTCAAATGGCTTCTTTTCTCTGAGCAGAAGCCTGTGCGGCCACATATGGTGGTAGACAAAGAACGGGGGCCAAATAAATTGCTGGAGGAAACGCCTCCATTAATATCAGATTCTTACTATGTGTTTGGTGTGACATAGGCGTGGCTTTCTGCATTCCACGTAGATGAGCAGTCACACACGTAGGACATTTTGGACTATTGCTTGATCACGTTGGCAGTGGTTGATCTATAGCTAGCAAAGGCTGCCACTTCAGAGGGCCTGTGGGCGGGACACTTGCCTGGGAAAGAGGTCTGTGGCGAAGGAAGGTTTGTGTGGCTTGGGTCACATCATCCATTTCCTTAATGAAACTCTCTCCTCGGCATGGAGATGGTTCAGTTACCACACAACCCTCGGGTAGGGCCAAGAAGCATAGCATGGGCTTTATCTTTCTCTCAGCTCTTCAAACTCAGAGCCCACCACAGGCACTTCTGTTTGAGGATCGGTGGAGGGAATCGGTTAAACTAACGAAACTTTAAATCAAGCCACCACGGCCTCGCTTTGCATTCTTGTGGTATCGTAATTTATTTTAAGTCAGTGTAGAAAACAGTTTACTTAAAGAACCAGATCCATCCAAGATACCAACACACACATAGGCCTTAGGTGCTACAAATACAGGAGAGGGAATTTGGGTTTGTTTTGGTAGAGGCCTGATGGGCAGGAGGCCCCTCTCTGCCATCCTGTCACTTTTTCCCCCTACTGGAAATGCCACTTCCTCATTCCCTGGGCCTTGGTGTTTCAGAAGCACACAGAGACCACCTTCTCAGACATAGTGTGTGTGCTCCTGAGCTCATTCCTGTGTGCTGGCTCGGGGATGGCGCGGCGCCTGAGAAAGCAGGCACAGGAGGGAAGGACGAGCCCCTCCCACCACCGCATCTCTTCTTTCTGTGCTGTTTGCTCAGGGGGAAAGAAACAGCACTCTCTTCCTCAGTGTTCCTCCTCCACACACTTTTGATAAGCACTGTTTTCACTTTGTATCTGCTGATCGATAAGCCCAAGGGTCGGTCTTGTCTGTTCCCAGAGATAAAGAACTGCATGCATAACTGGGCTTTATCCAGCCAAACTAGCACGCTTTTTCTTTGTTTTTCACAGTGTTTCTGAGAGATAAGAGGAAACCACGCAGACATGATGCATGACTGGGGAGGTTTTGAAATACTTTATAAACTCGTGCTCTATTCTGAGCTGTGGGTTAGGGATGGAAAGAAAGGAAGAGGGCACCACATGTAATCTAAGTTGATTTTTTTCCCTGCATTTCAAACAAGCAGGTGAACACACACACACTCACAGAACATGAGTAAATGCTCAACCGAGGAAAAAATAAGCTGATTTTCAATTAGTAGCATAGAAGTAAAATAGGGAGAATTTTAGTAATTCCAATGAGTACATACCCCGAAAATTCAGTGATCTTTTCCTATCACAAAAACTGTTTCTTGTCATATGGATTCAGAACCAAATAATTGGCAGACAGGACCTAAGTTCATCTGAAGAGCCAGATATATTGCCAGGAAAATGTGGGCTGGGACCAGGTCAGAGTCCTATGAAATCCATGCCATTCGAGTCTCTTAGCATGTTTCTGAGGGCAAGCCAGGCTGGAGGGGTTGATATGGGACTGGGGATGGAAGCTATTCAGTAGAGTGAGACTCAATGTAAGATCAGTTGGCAACTGATAAAGGCACAAAGGAAAAGGTGTTTTTAATAGCAAATGAAAATTTGGGGTAGCACTTTGAGTAGATGCAGGGTAGGAAATCATTTAGGAGAAATATGCTGCTCAGCTCTGCAAAGACCCAAGGCTGAGCCTTGAAATGATGGCAGGAATGTCTGGGAAGATAAGAGTCTTCAGGAATTTTAGACAGAAAGGAGGAGTACAGCCAAAAGACAGAGGTAGGTTGCTAATAGAAGGAGAATTTAAGTTGAAAGCCACGACATCATTGTTTCTGAGCAACCAGATAGAAAATGAGATAGTAAAGTCTTAGTGAAGCTGAACAGTGCTTCCTTGTCTGTGTTACATACTCTGCACTACTTTCTTTCCACCCTTAGGCTCATGAACTTAAATTGCTCTACGGTAGACTTCTGGCTATATCTCATCTCCAGTGCTGGATAGTAAGTTCCCTGTAAGGAAAAAAATATGTCCCGGGTTTTCTAGAATTTCCCCCATAATACCGAGTTTAGGGCCTCACTGGAATAGTAACTCAGGAAGTGTTAATTGGCAGAATTAATTAATGAACAGCCTCCTCTTTATGTAATTAATTTCCCAAATTAAATGTTAGATTTGAGGAGGCCAAAATCTGGATTATATTTTGACTTTCTCGTATTGGGTATATCAGAGGAGCAAAACCCTGTAAAGAAAGGAAGGAAGGAAGGGAGAGAGAGGGAGAGAGAGAAAGAAAAAAGAAAGAAATGGGGAGAGAAAAAGAAAAAAATCATTAGTACCTTATTTCAGAAGGAATTGGTGAGTATAATGGTAGATATCAGGCAGAAAGACTTGATGTGTGAGGAGAGAGGCCAAAATCCAATGGACTTTTCTTTGATCTTAGATTCATTCAATCTAAGGCTGAACTTCAGGTGATTTTTGGAGGGGCGGGTGGGGGGTGGGCAGTGGCCACGGTTATTCTGACTGGTACTTTTCTGGAGCAGGTCTGCATTTTTGGAAGTTTGGCTTCATAAGAGCAGAGGTCTTATCTATCTTTTCGTTGTCATAACTCCAACATCTAGAACAGCCTTCCTGTCATATAGTAGGGGCGTAAGAAATAATTGTGGAAGGAAGGGAAAGAGGGAGAGCTCTGCTTTTCATGCCAATAAAAACCTGGCACTTATTTACTCCCAAAGGCCCCCTCAGGTTCTGTGTTAGGTACTGAGGATATCAAAAAGGTGAGATGCCATAGTCTTGTGGCATCTTGATTGTCTAGTAGAGAGAGACAGAGACAGAGGCATAACACCCCAGGTGGTAAGTGCTCCCCCAAAGAGTCATGGTGAGGTAGAAGGAGTGAGCCAGAGGGAGCTAGGAGCATCTCATCTGCCCTGAGAACCTCTCACACCTAAGCAGAATCCTAATAAACTCAACACTGATCCTAATAAACTCAACACTGCTTTGTAAGCTTGAGGACATTTTCATCTCTAGGGTCCTAAGAACGGACTGTGGGTAGATTGAGTAAAATATGGAAGACTGCAAGTCATTGCATTTTAGCCATTCTCTATTCAGAGTCATTTTGATATTGAAAGTGATTTTGTCTTGGTACTTACTGGACTTTGGTTTCATTCTGGGAGTGCAGCAGCTACCATGAGTCTGTCATGCAGCAGCCTGTCAGAGCGCTGTGGCTTTATAAGCACAGTCTACTGTGCTTATAAAGACTGAAGGCCCATTACCTGGGCCAGACCTGCGCCGCACACTGGGAGTGACAGCTTTATTAAGCATGATCCGTTAGGCCCAGTCTTTGTTCCTCTCTGTGCAATTTCTTGTTCCCGTGACAAAGATTAATGATATAACCGCGGTAAAGTGGTCTTTGCATTTTATCGAAGCCAAGGGCAATAAAAATGTGTATTTCCCATCAACACAGCAAATTTTCTGAAGAGGGTGGATAAACTTGACAACAAAAAGTGAATCAGTTGTTTAAAAACAAAAAGTTACTTCTGGCTAAGCTTATTTACATAAGAGGAAAAGGATTTGGGGAATATGCTGATGGACCTTAACGAGAAAATCCAGTGTCTGTGGAAAAAAAAAGATCCTGATTTGACTTCTGCTTCTTGATTTCCTTACTCAGGTACTGACCCCAGCACAGATCAAATCAATTTGCCAGGCGATTCTGGACTCTGGGAAGCAGTATGCCATGAAAAAAAGGAAACCATTCCCCCTGATGTATTCTTACTATGGAACTGAATACCTGGGTGAGTGAAAGTGTTGGCAAAGTCCTCTAATACCCACACTGACTAAAAACTAGAAGATTCTGATTTGGGGTCATCACTATTCATTTAACTAGAAACACTTTAAAATGCCATTTAAAAACAAATATTGATGGATACTACAAATCACAATTTAATGTTTGTTCTCATAGTCTGACAGAAAGGTAGCTATTTTGATGATTGCTTTCCCTGAAGACTAAAATCCTTATTCTAGATTGTGAGTTCATTGGCTGAATTTCACCAAAAGTTATTGAATGGTTTATATACTCATTGCCAACAGTGCCTCTGTACAGGGAAACAGGATGAAGCCACTGACAATTTTCAAGTGTTTAATATTAGTGGCTCAATAACAGACTACTGCGGCGCCTGGGTGGCTCAATCAGTTAAGCGTCTGCCTTCGGCTCAGGTCATGATCCCAGGGTCCTGGGATCGAGCCCCACATCGGGCTCCCTGCTCCGTGGGAAGCCTGCTTCTCCCTCTCCCACTACCCCTGTTTGTGTTCCCTCTCACTGTTTTTCTCTCTTTTCCCTCTCAGACTACTGAGTCATAATGGCTACTTTTGAGACCTGAGGCCTGTAGAGTGAAAATTGGTTACTCCCCTTTTGAATCTTTCAGTGGCTCCCCATCACTCCTGAGCATGACTTACAGGGCCCTCTGTAGATCACCTGCTCCTTTCTCCAAACTCAAGCTCTGTCTCTCTCCCTTTTCTGGTTCTGTCCCGTATAATCCCCTACAAGCAAAGTGCTCGTGCTCTCAAATCTTCAAAATCTGTGTCCCTGTTCCTTTTGCCCAGAATGCCCGGCCTCCCCCAACCCTTTCAACTATCTGTAATACACCTAGACTTCAAGGCCGATCAAACATCATCAGAGCTATTGAGAAACTTTGCACTTTTGGAAAAAGGTTTTATTAAATCTTCTCTGGAGAAACATTCACGTTTCAGGTTTTACCCTGAAGCAAAATTGGTTAGTGTCAGGTCACCCTGCCACGCTTTTACTGGAGCCTTTATCACTTTATGCTGTAATTAGTGGTTTGCCTGTCCAGCTGCCTCAGAGGGCTTTGTGCACCTTCAGGATGAGGACTTTTGCTCACTTATCTTTGTGATCCCTGGACATTTACCAACGGCCTGTACATAATGAGGGTACCCAACTTCAGCAATGAGCTTATAGACTAGTAGTTCTCTGAGAGATTTCTCAAAGAACCTTTTTAAGTTCCTACTGACTTTCTCTAGAATCAGACCTTGAGACAAGGATTTGGGTATAAATAGCTTATTTGGGAGGTGATCCTAGCAAGTGTTGATAAAGGACTGAGGAAATGAGACAGGGTAGAGAAAGAGGTTAATAGAGGATGTAATAGTGAACAGCTGTGGATAACTGAGGCTTTGTTCCACTGGGGACCCCGAAGACTGTCTAGAACATGCCTCAGAATTGCCCCACCCCCATGGTGAGGAAGCTGGGGTGTTCATCCACCAGCTCCTTGCTTCCTGTGTCCAGGGTTGTTCCCAGACCTGTTAATTCCCTAGGACCTCAGTCCTGTCCCTGTGGGCTGGGCATACCTCTGTGGCCAGAGAAAGCCTCAGGCAGAAGGATAAATGCTTGAGGTAGAAGCTGGGGAGGAGAGGTGCCCCAGAATGGTGAGTGTGGGCAAGGTGATGGGCAGGGCACTGGCAGTGTCTGCTAGAGTTCCTTAATAGAACTATTCCTTTCATTTTCCATTTTTTTAGAGAAATTAACATTCTGGTCATTCACATGTATAGCACAAACCAGATTGCTATCTAATGCATAAATATTTTCCTGGAAAGCTTTTTTACCTAACAAATTAAATCCAGTGAAAGAAAGGTACCTTCAAGTATTATGACTATATTTTAGGAAGAAGTTTTTTTAAGATTTTATTTATTAGAGGGGGGTGGGGAGGAGCAGAGGGAGAGAGAGAATCTCAATCAGACTTCCTGCTGAGTGTAGAGCCCAATGCAGGACTCGATCTCACGACCCAGAGATCACCACCTGAGCTGAAACCAAAAGTTGGACGCCTAACTGACTGGGCCCCAGAAGAATCGTTTTTGACCGGCTAAAACTAAGACCATTTTTGGGCAGTTCCAAGGGCCTGAGTGCAAAGAGAAAGCTTTACCGTTATGGAGTTGAATTTACTGTGTCTGCTTTCAAGTAATACGGCCATTCATTTTTTTATACCATGATTGTCTTTTCAGTAAATTAAATGGGCTGTCCTCCCAATTGTGTGAATTAAGTATGCTGTGTTTCTTGATACAGGAGCAGCTCATGGCCTGTCGTCCATTCTCCAAATGCTTCTGTCTTACCACGAGCACCTCAAGCCCTCAGATCAGGAGCTGGTATGGCAGAGTGTGGACTTCCTCATGGAGCAGGAACAGAACTGCAACTGGCCACCCGAGCTCGGCGAGGCCATCGAGAGAGAGAACGAGCTGGTGCACTGGTGCCATGGCGCCCCAGGTCTCACCCACACTGTTATCTGAAAACATTGCCTTTCACTGGGCTTAGCCAAAGAGAGGTGTCTTTTCTGAGGACTGAGGGTATTTCTCATCTTATGTCATTACTACATGAGCTAAAAAGGTCAACATGAAACTTGTCAAACCAAAAAAAGTCTTGATCTGGAAAGGATCTCTAGAAATGATCCTGTAATTTTAACAATATATGATCCATATCTATTTGTGTATAAATTAAACTAGGACTGTCCAATAAAATATAATATGAACCACATATGAAATTAAATTTTTAGTAGCCCCATTAAAAATGTAAACAGAAACAGGTGAAATGAATCTTAATAATAGATATTTTATACCCCAAGTGTTTTTTCAACATGCAACCAATTTAAAACTTGAGCTGTTTCAGTTTTTCTTCATATTAAAGTGTTTTAAAGCCAGTGTATATTTTATACTAACAAACACCCCATCTCAATTCACACTAGCCACATGGCAAGGGCTCGATATCTGCTTCGAACAGTATAAATCTGGAGGCCGGTAATTCAAAATGTGGTCCCTGGACCAGTGGCAGGAACAACATCGGAGCTGGTTAAAAATGCAGAACCTTGGGCGCCTGGGTGGCTCAGTTGTTAAGTGACTACCTTCCGCTCAGGTCATGATCCTGGAGTCCCGGGATCGGGTCCCGCATCGGGCTCCCTGCTCTGCGGGGAGTCTGCTTCTCCATCTGACCCTCTTCCCTCTCGTGCTCTCTATCTCTCTCATTCTCTCTCTCTCAAATAAATAAATAAATCTTTAAAAAAAAAAATGCAGAACCTCAGGCTCCACCCCAGATGCACTGAATCAGAATCTGCATGTTAACAAGATCCCTCCGTATTTATATGCACATTAAATTTTGAGATCCACTATTCTATAATTCTTCAAATGAGGATTTCCATCATTACCTAATAAAAAGTCTGGAGAACTGAGAAGCCATCTGCGGTGAACTCTCTGGAATTGAGCCTAGAAATTTATCAGACTCCATCTTTTCTTTCTTTCTTTTTTTTTTTTTTTAAATCCCATTACCCTGTTAATTAGGCTTTCTGAGAAGGAGCAATTTGAAAGAAGTTAAATTCAAATAAATCCATTAATTTCAGTTGATTGGCCAGGGGAGAGATTTAAAATACCAAAATAACACAAAAATTTTGGATTAGGTGTGGATTTAAGTTTCTTTTTTTTTTAAGTTATTTATTTATTTATTTATTTATTTATTAATTATTTATTTATTTGAGAGAGCGAGCCAGCGAGAGGAGGGGGAGAGGGAGAAGCAGGCTCCCCATGGAGCAGGGACCCTGATGCAGGACTCGATCCCAGGATCTTGGGATCATGACCTGAGCCGAAGGCAGATGCTTAACTGACTGAGAGCCACCCAGGCGCCCCAGGAGTGGATTTAATTTTCAAGGCTATGCTTCAGTGCCATGAGCACAGCTTTAAAATATATTCAATTTCTCTTTAGTCTGTTACCTGATTTTTATTACTTCCTTTCTGCTCCTTACCTAATTAATCTTCTGTAATCCAACTGCAGTTTCATTTTCTCTTTGGTACAGTTTGAGTTGAAGAATAACAAGTTTTAGCTCATTGGCCATGTTTTCTGCGCCTGTCACGTTTACCTAAGGAAGGGACTTCAAAGGCTCCTGTGTGTGTTTGTCCCGGCGCCAGCATATTGTGCATTATGTCCAAGCTCATTCCCGCTGGTGATGATTTGAGCCCATTTCTTCTGGCTTTGAACTTTTTGGAGAACAACAAGTTATTTACTATTCTGGAAATGATATCCCTTCATGTTACGCTCAGCACTTTCCTATCCCATTTCCCTTTAATCATTCTCAGTGATGGTCTCTGGCTATCCTCCAAGCACCCCCAGAATCCTTGAATTTTGAAGGTGTCCCAAGTTAAATACAGAATATTTTAAAGGGACTCAATGTGCTAGTGACAGCCTTGCAAAGATGGGAAGATAATCCATTAAAAGGAGTGACTGGGTCGGTTAATTGATGGGGGTGTCTTTGTAAATCATGCACCGTAACAGTATAGCGTACGATTTATCACCTTGGGGACTTCATTTGTCCTCATATATCATTCACGTTCTGTATCTTGGTAAGATTAAACATAGGTTGCAGAGCAAACTCATTAAAACCCCGTATTCACTGAACTACCAAAAACAAACCAGTTCACAAATGAATAAAGAACCAACTGGGGCCCATTATGTATGCCAACCCACACTCCCACCTCAAGGATATTGGTCCTCCTTTTATGCAATGTGCTAAAAACAACCTAAGAGTGATTATAAATCTGATAAGTACAGGTTAAAGACCATCAAGTCGGCAACACTAAACTCCCCCCAAATTCTAAAAAAAAAGACTTAGAAAAATCATTTTCACTTGTTTGAGGAAAACATTTTTTGAGAGATTTATGAACAGTGCAGATGGTTTGGGGCAGCCTACTGATTCTGTGAATAAAAACCTGCAAGAGATAATCCAAATGTGGAACTTCATCAACGATACCTTATCTCCCCCTACAATTGTTTCCTATCGACTGTCCTTCAGCCCACCTCTACAGGTGACAGACAGCCATAGTTATCATTGAGACAGTGTGGAAAGAGTTCTTGCTTCGAAGCGAGTAACTTTGGGTTCTAATCGTAGCCCCAGTGCTAACCACTAAATGACCTTGAGAAAACCACTGTGTGCTCCTTTAGGTCTCTCTTGACACCACTGTGGGACATTTTGTCTATAATACTAACCGCATCATTAAAAGTAAAACCCAACCAATTCACAACAAAATGAGTCCCAAAAGATCTGTAGACACCCACATTTAGAAATAGCCAGTGTGGCATCTAGTTTTTCTCACTAAATACAACGCCGTACAGCAGGCAGATGCATATGACCTCTTCATAGCCTTAATGATTCTGAAATACAGGATGAGAGTCATTTACAAAATCATTAAAACAAATGCTGTGTCTAAAATAAATTCTAGATTGCATTATGTTACATCATTACTGTGCTAGCACGGACAGTGCATTTCCTTTCCTCACACAGAGGAGGAAACACAGGTGTGGCTAGTTTTTAAAATCATTTCACAAGGGGTCCTGGGTACGTGACTTTGAATAGAGAACAAGGGCTTGACCAGTGCGGGTGTCATTGGTCCCCAAGCTTTGTCACACACTGTACAATGCGTGCCTCAGTAAAATGACAGACCGCAGAGCGGACCTGTGTGGTGATGCTCCAGTCTGTTCAAACTATGCGTGCCGAGTCTAGCTGTCACGAGGCTCTGCTAGATTGCATGCTTTCACAGCTTTAGCTTCTCAAACCATATTTCTTAAATAATGATTTCTTTTCCCAGTGTTTGGTAAACACGTATATCGTTGGTGACTTAGGTTTCTGATCAGTGCCCAATAATCAGTGTTCCGGTGACAAAATGACACGGTTCCTATCAAAAGCAAAGAAACCCAACCTTCCTTCCTTTTAGATTAAGCAACCTTATTGCGGGTTTCAGTAGGTCAGGTTAGAAGACGAGTGGTTTAGAAGTCTTCCAAGGTCCCTTCCATGGGCCATTCTGTGATTCAGGCTGCAGGAAGAGGTCCTTTGTCTCTGGCCGGAAGCAGAGGATCGCTAGCTATTAAGCTGCCTTGGGCTAATGGCCTGGCACAGCAATTGGACCATATCAGCCCTTCTTGCTTCCACGTCTCGTCTCTGCCTCGGTGTCGGCCTGTGCTGGGGTGAGAAATGAGACTTTATAAGGTCAGCAGATGTTTTTGGAGCCCTTGCCAGGTCAAACAGCATGCCATATACTAGGGGAGCAAAAGTGAACAAGACAGAGTTCCCGCCCGTTAGTAGTTTGTAAGGTCCTAGGGGAGGCAGACATATAAACATAATTTTAATATGATATTGTCTAAGTGCTAAGGTTTGTATAGGGAATGATGGGAACTCAGAAGAGGGATTCCAGGTGCCCCTCCAGGTTTGGGGAGGGCTTCCTGGAGGCAGTGATGAGGTGAGTTGGCCAGGCCAAGAAAGTTGGGAAGATTATTCCAAGAAAAGTCAGTCAGAGGCTTGGAACCACATAGTGAAGGAAGGGGAACTGTGGGGGGTTTGGTTTTACTGAAGCGAAAATCTTCAACTAGGTAATGGAGGAGACTTTGGCAGAACAGAATAAGAGCTGAATCACAGAGCGCTTTTTGTGTCTCAAGTGGAGACTAACTTCACCTGGCTTCTGAGTGGGTGCTAAGAGTCATAGATTACACCACAGTGTTGGTCCATCCTGAGGCAGGGGAGTTGACCTTTGGTTTCCCTGTGTCGGAACCAGTCGTTGGCTGAAATCTCCTGGGGAGGTGGGCATATAGCATAGCCTTTCATTTGGCTGAGTGCAAATCTCTCAAGAAGAGGGCAGCTGTGAGCTTTCTTAGCAGCCAATTCATAGCATCTGGGAAATGGGGCACCTGCAGGTAAGGTAAAGGCAATCCAGCAGAGCACCAAGGGCTCCCAGTTCACCCGGCTAATTCTTCCTCATCTTTCGTAGTCAGGCTAAATGGTGTCACTGCCCCTAGTGGGCCTTTCCTACCTCTAGGTGTGGGTTAGGAGCCTTCCTGTGTATTCCATGAGAGCTCTCCTTCCCCTCAGATAACCTAATTAATGCCTCCAGTTAGATTGTAAACACTGGGAAGGGAGGGGCTTTTTAAAACCTTAGCACCTACTACTGTACCTGATATATAGTAGGTGCTCAGTTACTATCTAAACAACCACCAAATCCTTTGAGCCTTTTATTAGCCTCTTTGCTATCTTTCTGCCAACATGATCAGCTCATAGCTACCCCACTGTGCTTTTTTTTTTTAAGATTTTATTTATTTATTTGAGAGAGAATGAGATAGAGCACGAGAGGGGGGCGGGTCAGAGGGAGAAGCAGACTCCCTGCTGAGCAGGGGGCCCGATGCGGGACTCGATCCCGGGACTCCAGGATCATGACCTGAGCCGAAGGCAGTCGCTTAACCAACTGAGCCACCCAGGCGCGACCCCCTGCCCCCCGCATTGTGCTTCTTTAGGTCTCTCTCTTGACACCACTGTGGGACATTTTGTCTATAATACTAACTGCATCATTAAAAGTAAAACCCAACCAATCCACAACAAAATCCCTCCCATTGGTTCCCTATTGCCCACAGAATATAGTCCATGCTGCCTAACTGGACTTGTAAAACCATCCATAAGGTGAACCCAATCTACCCTTTCCTCTCCCTATCCTATTGGTTAGAACACTGCACCACTGGTCTTCATGTGGATTGTTTGTCCTGGCTCCAAATCTTTGCCCTTATTGATCCTGATGTCTAGAATGTTCTCTGTAACTCATGTTAGGCTTGGAGTTTCCTATGCATCCTGCAAAGTCCTGAAGAAAGCCCTACTTCTATCCTAGGCCTCATCCAACTGTCTCCCTCAGGGAACTTCCACTTTTTTGATCCCTCTAGGGTTATTGACGGCGTCATTCATTTTATGCTCCAACAGCATCAGGAACTCCATGTCCTATGATGTATCAGTTACATGTACAAATTTTTCTCTCCCTTTCTAGACAGTACCTTCCTGAAGGTCCGGAATCTTGTTTAGCATTTATTTCATATAACCCAAGGCCAGGACTGGCTACATAATTTGGCGGGCTCAGCACATAGTGAAAAGGCAGCCTTCTGTAAAAAATTGATTATTAATTTCAAGATGGTAACAGCAGAGTATTAAACCCAGCATGAGGTCCTTCTGGAGACCCTTGGAGACTGTACAGGTCACATGCCCATGAAGCAAGCCCTGCCTAGGGCCATGTATACAGTAACCAATGATCACTTACAACAGAATGGATACAGTGAATGAATAAATGTGTAATTAAATAAGTTCAATTCTTTTAAAAATCTTCTTTTAGCTTGTGGAAGACACTTTGTTCCTAGAAGTGAAGAAGGACAATAGGCTATAGGTGACCATTGTCAGTGGTTGACTGGAAAGCCTTGGCTGAGGAGAGCCTGTTGTTATGTGTTAATCATAGGAAGTGTTAGAGGATAAATTCTAAAAGAGACTAAAATCATGACTTATACAAATATAAAATAAACGTGGGTCAACAATTTTATTTAGCTCATTAATTAATGAGGGAACCGGAATGGTGTTACAGCTGGTTTCAAAGGAAAATTCCAGGAGCAAGCATATTTATGGGCCAGTAGGAGGGCTGACATGAATTTGCTTAATAGATGCAAAACTGGCTGCTTCCACAAAGGCCAAGGGAAGTCAAAACAACCTATCCCAGACAGAAATGTGATTTTCTAGGAATAGGAATTATTTACATTACTATCAGTTGTCTACAAGGTAATTTCTGTCTCCACAGAGTTGTAAAATAGCCTGGTCAAAAGACGGTGAAAGGCAGAGATAACCCTGATGGATGAGCTAGTCAAGATACCTGCTAAATTCCAGTCTTTCCCACTTCATGTAGGAGAGAGTTAGAGGCCATGCAGGAGAGAGAGGGATCTTGTGTTACTAATCTCCTCTCCGAATATGAGCACCTGGAACTTGGGGGAAATCATTTCCATTAATAGCTGTCGCTTTTCTTGTTTCTGTTCCTGCCTGTGTAATTGAGATTGCCTCTGTTGAGTTTGGAAGGCAATTGTCTTCCTTTAGAACAATCGAGTAGGGAAGGACTCGCTTCACAGCTGGAGTAGAAGTCTTGGCCAGGTCATTTGGGATCATTGTTGTTTCTGGAAGGACTCCCAGTTTTGCCTTAAGAAAAGGTGTATAGTTATAAGCACTTTAACATTACAAATTCTGAACCTCTGTGGGGGAATGGGCAGACTGTATAAACACTTAGCCATTTCAAATAGCCAGATATGCGTAATGCTTCCCAGAGTATGCATCATTAAATATTAACCCATTTGTAAATTACGGATTGTATCACTCTTTGTACTTGTTGCTCTTTCTCCAGGGGCCAGTATCACAATACAATTCAAACAACTAAATCTCACAGGTAAAATAAGACTAGAAGATTCTATAGCACTGCTCCTCAGAACGTGGTTCCCAGAAGGTCACTTGGTAGAAATGCCGAATCTCAGGCCTTACCTCAGACCTACCAGATTAGAATGGGTGTTCTACACCAGTGATGTGTGAGCCTTTTACAGTTGGAGAAGTTCTGCTCAATAGCATAAAGCCCCAAAGTCACCTCTGATGTCTTTGATGTTTTCACAGGAATTGCCTATCTGTTTGCCAAAGCTTATCTGGTTTCCAAAAAACCACAGTACCTGGACACGTGTATCCGGTGTGGGGAACTTACGTGGCAGAAGGGCCTGCTAAAGAAGGGGCCGGGGATTTGCCATGGTGTTGCCGGCAGTGCTTATGTCTTCCTGCTGCTCTACCGCCTCACTGGAAACTCGAAATACATCTACCGAGCCCAAAGGTCAGCTGATCTTTGCGTGTATTTTTTTTTCTAAACATTAATCAAATTCATGTTCTGAATAGGTAATAGAGTCACGTAGTTTGAAAAGTGAAAAAAGAGATGCATCACATCAACTGTGCACTCTAGCAATTTGCTTCTCTTTCCAGGTAACAGTGTTACCAAGTTTCTTAGTTATCTTCTCAGAGATATACTGTGTATATAAAGTTTCATCCCTCTTTGTTTTATACAAGTGGTAGCACCTTGCTTTCTTAGCAATCACCCTAAATCAGTACATAAGCAACTCTTCATTTTTACTGTTGCATGGTATTACATTGCATGAATGAACCAGAGTTTAGTTACTAGGTCCCATGTAGAGGGATATGGGCATTATTTCCAATATTTTGCATTACAAATAATGCTATCATGAATAACCTTATATATATGTATTTTTTGCACATGTGTGGGTATATCTGAAAGATAAAGCCCTAGAAGTGGAATTGCTGGGCCAAAGGGTATGTATATTTGAGATTATTTTTTAATTGTGGTAAGAACATTTCAGATGACATCTGTCCTCTTAACATATTTTCTTTAAAGAGAGAGAGAGACAGCACGAGCAGGAGGGGCAGAGGGAGAGGGAGAGAGAATCTCAAGCACACTCTGCACTGAGTGTGGAGCCCCATGAGGGGCTCAGTCCTACAACCCCGAGATCATGACCTGAGCTGAAACCAAGAGTCCAACACTTAACTGACTGTGCCACCCAGGCACCCCGCCTCTGAACATATTTGTAAGTGTTAGCTGTAGGGAGTGTGATATAGCAGATCTCTAGAACTCATTCACCTTGCAGAGCTGAAACTTTATACCCACTGAGCAACAACTTTCCATTTTCCCCTCTGTCCCCGGTGCCTGGCTACCACCATTCTATTCTTGGCATCTACGAGTTTGGCTGTTGTAGATACCTCATATGAGTGTTACCATGCAGTATTTGTTTTTTGTAACTGGCTTATTTCACTTAGCATAGCGTCCTCATTTATCATTTAGAACAGTGTCTGACACATAATAACTGCAATGTAAGTGTTCACTGTTATTATTACTAAAAATTAGAGTTCTATCATTCCAGACATTTCTCTATACATAAATGCATATTTATATATCTATTTATATATAACTATGTAGTATATATTAATAAGATCCTACTATTATGTATATATAATAGTACCATACATGCCATTTATAGCTTGTAATTTTTTTTTTAAGATTTTATTTATTTGACAGAGAGAGAGACAGCGAGAGAGGGAACACAAGCAGGGGGAGTGGGAGAGGGAGAAGCAGGCTTCCCGCTGAGCAGGGAGCCCGATGCGGGGCTCGATCCCAGGACCCCGGGATCATGACCTGAGCCGAAGGCAGACGCTTCACGACTGAGCCACCTAGGCGCTCCATACAGCTTATAATTTTAAATGGACAATTTTTAAGGGACATCCTTCATTTCAGTTTGTATAGATCTATCTCATTGTTTAAATGACGGTAGAGTTATTCATTATAGATGTACCATGATTAACTTCATCAGTCTTTAAGTAATGGACACTTGGTACCTGTGTGATCTTTACAAATAACAAGCAAAATTGTCCCAGATATCCAGTACATACATTTCTGTGCACCTGTGCAAGCATTTCTTGTCACAGAAATTTTAAGAATTGAAGTCATTAGACCCCTGGGTATTTCTAGCCTGTCTTTATCGTTTGCCCATTTTTATCCTCTTGTGATGCTTCTCTCGAGGATTGTAACTCTTTGTTATGATATATGCTGTAAATATTCTCCTACTTTGCCACTTCTCTTTCAACTTAGCTTGTGGTCTTTTGCCAGACCAAAATTTGAAGTATTTTTCTTGTTAAACTTTCAAGATTTCTGGATTTTGTGTTATACTTAAAAAGACCTTTCCTGCTCAAAGATTACAAAAATATCAGTTTGCATTCACTTTTAGTACCTTTGTGATTTTAACTTTTAAAAAATAAATTTTTTACCTCCTTCACCCATTTCTCCCACCCATTTAAAAGTTCGTCTTAACTTTCAAATCTTTAACTAATCGAGAACTTACTTTTTTTAATGGTGTTATCTGGGTATCTTTCTGTTTTTTATTGAAAAAAACCGAAACATTCCAGTAATATCTATTGACCAATTACCCCAAAGATTTGAAATGTCAAATTTATCATAAACAATTTATATAAATGTTTGTTTCTGGACTTGCCATATTTTATTATTCATTTTCTCATTTATTCTTCCAACTGTATTTTAGAATCAATTTTCAGATTAAAAAAATATTCTGTGGCAATTTGATTGGAATTCCAATAAATTTATAGGTTACTTTAGTGAGAATTAAAATCTTTAGAATATTGTTTTTCTGTCCAGGAACGTGGTATGTTTTCCCTTTATTTAAGTTTTTAGAAATGTCATTTGGTAGGGTTTTGATCTTATGAAAAAGGTCTTGCATGTTTCTAGTTAATTTTATTCCTTGGTATTTTATGTTTCCAGGTTTGTGAGTAGAATCTTTTCCTGCACTGTATTTTCAGGTCATTTATTACTGGTATTTACGAAAGCTTTTTAAAACGTGCATATGGGCGCCTGGGTGGCCAGTCGTGAAGCGTCTGCCTTTGGCTCAGGTCATGATCCCAGGGTCTGGGATCCAGCCCCGCATCAGGCTCCCTGCTCAGTGGGAGGCCTGCTTCTCCCTCCCCCACTCCCCCTGCTTGTGTTCCCTCTCTTGCGGTCTCTCTCTCTGTCAAATAAATAAATAAAAATATTTAAAAAAAATAAAAAGTGCATATTATTGCAGCTTAGCAATCCAAGATGCACTTCTTTCATATAAATCTGCATTGTATCTTATAAACATCTTAGTTTTGATAGATGTAATGATATATCTGGCCACCTTTCTGAACTCCATTGCTGTTTCTATTAGATTTTCATTAGAGTCCATTGGGTTTTAGACAGACATATTTGCAAATAATTATAATTTTGTTACTTCCTTCCTCATTTGTATTCTCCCCCTCCTCCCCCGTTGCATGGGTCAGAATCTCCATAAAAATGTTCATTAACACGAGCAATAGTAATGATGATTTTATTAGGAATGCTTCTATGTTTCACCCTGACCTTTGAAATTTGCTTCTTATGATGTATATCATGTCCAATCATGACACTCCTCTGTTCAGGAAAATCCAGTGGCTTCCCATATGACTCAGGAAAAGCCAAAGTCTGTCCTTTGCACAAAAGGTGCTACAGGATCTTGCCTCCCATTACCTCTGTGAGATCATCATCTGCTCTTTTCCACCTAGTTCTTTCTACCACAGTGGCTTCCTTTTGGTTCTTTGAAGGTGCCAGGTGCAACCTACCTCACTGTTTTGTTTCCCCCCACCCCACCTGTAATGCTCACTTTCTACATATATCTCCCAGGCCCCTGACTTCATTCAGACCTTCACTCTAAAGTCATTTTCGCAGAAAGGTCTTCCCAAGCCAACTTATCTAATATTCAGTGTAAAAAAAAAAACAACATATAAAATACCTTTTATGACATTTGCCGGTAGACACTGAAGGAAAAATACTAACATATGTCAGTCCTCCATTTGGAGCTTCATTGTTCAGGAATTGTTAACATATTTTGATTCATGGCTCCCTAATCTGTTTGGTTGCAGCCTGACCTTTTATTTCTCAAACATAGAAAAAGGAAGTCCTTTTGGATTCTGTCTAGACTAATGTGATATCACCTTTGGGACTGGTTTCATCAGAGATTGTCAGGCCCTAGAAAGCCTAGTCAAAGGGGCCAGAACAACCCCTCTATTTTTCTGGCAGACCAGTCCTAGATTACAGAGTCTCTTAGTTATGAGGTTCTGGGGTCCAGGGCCCTTCAGACAGGTTCCATTTCTCACTTCCAGGTAGAGCCTGAAAATGTGCAGGTCATATCTGAATATATGGGGGGGGGGCATTGCATTTAATTGCTTTAGTGTACTGAAATTTCCACTTCATTATAATTCAAAGTTAAATATTCTATGGCCCAAACTGGGGAAACTTCCCTAATTTTGGCAGTTCCTAAAACAGTAATGTCAGACAATATGTACCTTCTTGTAATAAACATTACTTAGTCACTGGTTGAAATTTATAGTTGCAGAAAAATAGTTGATAATGGTTTCAGTTTCTTCTATCATTATTTAATTATTCAGGGTTTCTACCTCTTCTTGAAATAATTTTGGTAGTGAATATATTTCTATAAAAACATTTAGTTCATATGGATTTTCAAATGTTTGCTATAAAGCTTTAACAGTGTAGTTCCATGATATTTTAAATTTCCCATGTCTGCGATTATATGCCTTTTTGCATTCCTAATGCTTTTCCTTTTTGGTCAGATACCAACATTTTGTCTATGTCATTCATCCTTTCAAGGAACTGGCTTTTAGTTTTGTTTATTGATTCTTTTTGTGTTTCTTTTGCTTCTTAATTCATAGAAACTTTCTGCCTTTCTTTTGATTTTCTAGTATTCCTCTCCTTTGTTATTTTCTACAGTTAAAAAAATATTTCATTAGAATACCTTACATCTTTCTGACAATAACAGTAATAAAATTCTCAGATGGATGAATTTTCCAGTTCAATTCTTGTCATAATCAGTATGTTTTGATATGTAATGTTCTCAGTGTCTGTAATTCATTTCAGTTCTAGAATTACCATTCTGACTTCTATTTTGACAGAATTTTTTAGAAAAATAAATTTGTTTGCTTGAAATTTGCATCACTGGGTAGATTTGGGGAGCAGTTATTTCCACTTTATTTATTTATTTATTTATTAATTCAAATTCAATTGGTCATTTTCACTTGAATGTGATAACTGTACCGGTCAGAGCACAATGAAACTGCTACTCTCATACATTGCTGGTACTCTTATAAAATGCTATATATCATTTAGAAATTATTTTGAGAAGCACAAAAAATGTTTATCATATTACTTTTAAATAAAATGTAGGATATTAATATTATACAGACTATAATTTAAATAATGTGCTAAATAAATCAAAGCTTGTGGGGGAAAAAGGTCAGGAGGAGAAAGAACAAAATTAACTATGGGTTTCTTTTCAAGTATGGTAGAATGGTAGTCTCTGTTTTATATACATTCCACTATGTTTATGTGAAAAACGATATTTACCATTTATCAAATGCTTGCCATATGCTCAGAGCCTAACATATGGTATCTTTAATCTTTACAGGTAATATTACACAACTCTGCAACTTCACCATTTTAAAGTCAGATTAAGAAATTTGCCAAAGTTCATATAACATGAAATTATCAGAATTGGGGATCTCAACTCCAAAGCCCTTCCTCTTTCTGCTCTACCAGAGCTTCTTAATCTAGGGCTTGTGAATTTACTTGAGAAAAGTATTATATCTCAAACTGAAATGGAGCATTACCTTCAATTCTGACTGTAGATAGTAAGCCACAGGAGAATTAGCAGTAGCTGTGACTCTCACCAGTAGAAGTCATAGATATTCTCATGTCGTATTGCTCTTGTTGCAGATATTATGAAATATATTTGACTCTCATAACTACTTAGAAATGTCAGCAGTTATTAGACCCACTACTAGATCTTGTTCTTTAATGTGTTAATAAGGAATCCATATATTATTATTTCACAAATTGGGTTTTACAACTTTTGCTAACTGTGCCTTCATATAATTAATTTCCTTGGGAATCCTGTGTATTTTATTTTCTGTATTTGAAGACTTTTTTCTCTGGGAGGAGTCCAAACTGTGAAATGATCCGTGGCACTGTAAATCTTATGACTCCTTGGAGCTATACTTTGAAGTTTCATTGCATAATGACAAATTTTGAATTAACTCTTTAAGAGGCATCATCATTATACTGTTTAAAATTTTTAACTCCATTTAAAAATTGTTGCATATTCAGGAAAACAGTGGATAGAAAAATTGTACCAAACAGAATTGCAGTATGTTTCCTGCTGACTTATTTTAAGCTGCTGTTGATAATTCCAAGAGCCCTAAAAAGATCAAATAAGTAATTACTCTTTGTAGGACCCCCCCCCACACACACACACATAGTAGCAATAATCTAAATTTATGGCAGTATCAGCTCTCAGGCCTTACCAACCTGTGAGTTCCTCTGAATTGGTGATTGTGTCAGCAGGTCCGAAAAGAGATAACACAGATCACAGCACTTTCAAAGCTGTAAACTACTACAGTGTTACTCATTATCAACAATTTGAATAGGATTTGTGGCAAATACAGGTAGAAGAAAAAAGATCTTTCATCGAGAATCTAGAGGCTAGTGATTTATTTTTAAGGCAGATGTCCTAAAAATAATCTATCTTGGAGCTGAGTTTGCTCTTTGATGTCATGATTATAAAATGTTGCTTGCCTTTTCCCATTCATCTTATTCCTTTGTTTGCCCAAAGCACAGGTTGTATAAAATCTTGCCCATTTATTTTCACAGTCTCTGCTCTCTGTCACATATAAATGAAACCTAGCTCAGAAATGATATGCCTGCAGAATCACAGCATATTTACTCTTTTAAAGGAACAGTCATACCTCAGCTTGCTTCTATTCCAGATAAATAAAAATATGGTTATTTATCTGTCTCTTTTAATTATTGGATGACAGAAGGAATGAAATCCACAGAAAATACCAAACTGCTTTGCTTTGCAAACTCTGACAATAGTTGAATTTGCTTGTCAACACAATTTGTTGTGAAACATACACAATTATATAACAGATCCTCTTTTCTTTTTTTTTTAAACAGAGAAAAAGGTTTTCGTAGAATATTATATAGTTCTGCAAAGAAAATGGTGCTAGAACTTTACCTTAGCAGAGAGGAGGAAGAAGCAACGGAAGGCCAATAATATGGGAACACTCCCGTGTTCATATGTTCTTTTCTTCTCTTAGGTTTGCTGAGTTTTTATTTACGGAGGAATTCAAGGCCGGCTCTCGGGTCCTTGAAAGTATATACAGCTTGTATGAAGGCTTCTCTGGGACGGTGTGCTTTCTGATCGATCTGCTGCAACCCAATCAGGCCGAGTTCCCTCTCTTCAGCGTCTTTGTCTAGAAGGCTCCATCTCCCACTGTGGCCCTGTAGAAGGTCCCTGAGATTTCCCGAGCCTACCCGAGGCAGTTTCCACATAAGCCACATTCAATGGTTATCACAACCATGAGCCTTAACATTGCCGCCAGAAGGAAGGATGGGAGAAGGCAGGTGAAGGCAACATGATACCAGACTTGACGGAGAACAGCTTGAGAACCTGCAGAATTAAGACCCCACAACTCTTCTACAAACCACAGAGACTTAAAATTTCAGGGAATAGATGTGAAACCAGAGATCAGAGGAAAAAGGGAAAGAGAAATGATCCATTTTTCAGTTATGGCATAGAAAACAAAACTGAAATGTGGACTATGTAGATAAAATGCCAGTACCTTTGCAACTGGAAAGAGAATTTGGCCATTTGTGGGTGCCCTCCACCCCTAAATTCAGAAATAAACACAATCAAAAACTAAAGTAATTGCCCAGCTGAAAATTGCTAGGAGGAATGAAATGTCAGGTTGCTGAAGGACAAAAAAAGGAAACTCTTGGTTGTCTTAGGCCTTTACTTATTGAAATTTATCGTTTTTACTGAGTGGATAAATTTGCATATGAATCTCTATTGTTAATCATTAATCTGGGCACTTTAAAGGAAACATATCATAACCTTTTTTTTTTTTTTAAAGATTTCATTTTTAAGTAATCTCTATGCCCAACGTGGGGCTCAAACTCACAACCCCAGGCGCCCCTAAACATATCTTAACTTAGTTTAAGTCCTGTTCAAAGTTTCTTTAGGCCTTACATCTCTTTTCCTGGTTCCTTTTTCTTTCTTAAAGCTCAATTGGAATAGTAAAATTCATAGGCTAGCAAATACTGTAGCAAGTGTTGCTGTCAAGTGTTTTTCTCAATTTGAAGCGTGAGCTGTGTCTATTGTTAATTAATATAAAATGCTTATGTAATCCCTATGAAGCTATTAGCTGAACTGTAAAATACACTCGTGGTAAAAATCACTCATCTCAAAGATCAGGGTAGCCACTACAAAGGTATGTCATTTCTGCCTTTGATGGAATACTGTGTTTCCTGGGACAGGCAGACCCCGGCTGAGAATGGGACCTAGCTAGCGATCGTGAAAAGAACATTGCTAAAGTTTATGCTGTTAGATTAAGAGATGAGTGAACTCCTTGGCTGATCACCTTAGTCTCCAAGACACAGGCTCCACCAGAAACTGTCTACAATACCCACGGAGCCAAGTTGTTATATTAAATTCTACCCTGCTATATACACATAGAAGTTGTAAAAACTACTTCAGGTAAATGGGGTTTTGCAGAACATGGTAGGAACATCTGTCAGGTCAGAATGCGAGCTTACCCGTTTCCTACAATTTGGTCACTAGTGATTTCATATATCGGAGTAAAGAGGGACTTGCGTGCCGTACAAGATTAAAGAATTATTCAAATAGTCATTAAATATTTGCATATATGTGATAGATGTAAAAATATATATGTATATTCTACATCTATCTCCATGTAAACCCAAACACTTACTAAGTTCAGTAATTCCTAACTTCTTGATTTATAGATAAACTGGGAGGAGTTGGGAATACTCTGTTGTCTCAAAATATGTGTGTGTGTGTGTGTGTCTGTCTGTCTGTCTGTTGGCATGTATGTGTGTGTGCCATGTGCTGTGTGTGTGTGTGCACACGTGTGCACACTTATTTTCCTGGGAAGAGGTTCTCTAGCATTCATAAGATTCTTAAAGGATCTGTGGCCGAAGAAAGGTAAAAACTACCTTTGTGTATTTTATGACTTTATGTTTGCACTCATCAGAACAAGTTAGGACAAAATGGTTTTGAAAAACTTGCACCTTTTTCATTTATTGTTTCATTTTCGTATCCTCAGATATAAATATATGAAATTGGCTTCAATTGTTCATTTTGAAAATACTCAGGTTAGAGCAACACCACATAAATAACAGCTTCGGTTGACTCTCAAAGTTGGGTTCTGGAAGTTCTTTCATGAATAGTCTAGGCCCTCTCGGAAAGCCTTAAAGTGAAATGCCTTCTATGGAGCAGTCTCCTTTTGAAATGATAGTGGTACCTGCTTTTCAGCATCTGGTTTCAATTTCATTTCCTTTGGCCTCTATAGGCTGAAAGTAATAAGCATCCAGTATACAGGGCTTTATGGAATACATGCTTTTGTCATCATCCATCAACCTTTCAAGATGATTTAGGTAATTGATCCAAAGTCTCACAGCAAGGAAGGGGCAGAATGAAGATTCAAATCCAGGGTTTCGCTTCACAAGTATATTTATTCAGTACTCCAGACTAGAATCTGGGGATACAGCAGTGAACCAAAGTACCCCTGGAAGGTACCTTCTGTTTCTGTTTGCCAATCCTTTCACCATTAATTCTTGAAACCTGAAACCTAACGCCCTAAGAAGCGATAATCTAGTTCAACATATCAGTTTCACTTCTAGGAACTTCAGAACAACTGGACTCATTCATGCTCGCCCACCCTTTTAAGGTCTAGCAGGGTAACCATGACATTGTGCTGACTCTTCTGAAAAGGCAACACTTTTGTGTGTCAAATCCAAGCAAAGGCCATGTCTGAGTGTGTCTTTATGAATTGACACGTTGGTAAATTAGAAACAAGGGTAAGCTTGTTTAGCACTTAAACATGTTGAAAGTTTCCATTTTCCTGAAAGAGTAGAATTGTAGCTTTTGGAAGATCCTCTTCTATCTTGTTTTCCCAAGAAGGGGGAAAAGACTCTTAAGTGTTGCGGTAGAAAGCATGGCCTGTCACTTCTTATTTAATTAACCAATGTGTTCCATTCTAAGCAGTAACATCCTTTTCTGAATAAGTGCTTAGGCAGGTTGCCTCGTGAAGGTGACAGGGGCATTTTCACCACCACTAGTGTAATTTTAATATTAGTTACTCTATGTGGCATGAATAGCTATAAACCCTGAAGGTAACAGTGGAAATATTTGAGGATAGATTGAAAGAATCTCTCCACAATGGGGAGGCTGCCGTATACTTTAAGAATGGGAAGTTTTGGAGAATATTACAACTCTGTGAATTTGCTTCATTAACACAATTACGGACCTTCTCTTCCACACATACCCCCAAATATCATATATTGTGCCCAATCACATTTCAGTCATCAGTTTCTACTTTTTTGCTCCATTCCTAACGTAATAACTGAGGTTTGACGAAAAGGTTTTTCAGCATATACACCCCTGTGATTCTTTAGGCAACTGACGACACTATTAAGACAATAGTATTTACTTTCTGATAATTTGAGAAACAGTCATTTTGTTGGTCTGTGTTAATTTGGAACTCTTCCATGGCACTATATAACTTTAACTTTCTTTGACACACTAAGATTTTAATCAAGGTAGTACTCAAATTGTTTCAATTCCTGTACAGAACAAATTTCAATAATTTCAATGCAACTAATGTAAGCTTGTGATTTATAACCATGCTAAGGAAACACATGAATAAAAGGACAAACATTAGTAATGCAAAGAGCCCTCTGCCCCTCACAGGATTGTCATGAGGTTGCCACTGATAAAAATGAATATAAGCCTGCTTCCTCTGCTTCTCTCTCTCTCTCTCTCTCTCTCTCTCCCTCTCTCTCTCCTCCTGTCTCTCATGAATAAATAAATAAAATCTTTAAAAAAATGAATATAAGAGAGTTTTGTAATATACAGGTCCTTTATATATTTTAAAGGGAACAAGTACCTACTATGTGCATAGAAAATTGTGCTCAAGTTTTGACCTCAAATACGCATGTCAGCCAAATGGAATCTCCATATGTGGTTGCAGTGCTTGGGGTCCGGATCACTTGGTGGGTAAAAATGAAGTGTATGTTTTTTATATTCTAGAACCAATCCTGACCATAGTATTCGTGCCTCAGAAGGTTCTGATTCACTGGGGCTTAGTAAATAAGAATAGGCTGGTTTAGCTCGGAGCTCCTTTTAATGCAAATATTTATATTGCTTGCTGGAAACAAAGGATTACAGTGCCAGTAATGTAAGAAAAGGAGCTGGTAGGCGAGCTCTGCAGAGCAAAAATGACCTGGGAAATAAAAGTATTTTTGGTTGAGTTTGGTCCGCAGTATAATTCAGGCCTCAGGACTGTGTGACATACAGCAATAGAAACATACTCTCAATTACATATGAGGCCTTCTTTTGGGGATCTGGGTTATTTATTCAACACTGTCCCAAATTAATAGACCAGCCTCAGATTCGCCAAGGCCACGTTATCTTGGCATAAACTTGGCCAGGAAAGCAAATGAAAAGGCAACCAAAGGGGTGGGTGGGGAAAGCTTGCTGGAGCTCAGCATCTCAGCGTGAGTTGCTGAGGCACTTTTTAATGCTAAGAACCAGTCATATTACTTGTGGGTTTTATTGCTTCCTGGGACCTCTAATCCCCGCCCCCCCCATCTCCCCACGATTCAGCAACTTCTTGTCCTCCCTTTGGTCTTTAAATAGTACATTCTGATGTTTATTTTTTCCTGTGTGTGCTTAATCATGTGACCTCCTTTTGCCTGGGAGGGCAGGATTTCTCCTTATCTCTTCCATCCTTGTCAGTTCGTAGCTAAAAGCTCCAGGCTCAATAAGGCTGGACTCCCCTCTGGCCAGAAGGGCTGACCTCTAGGTCAGCCGCCGCAGGAGTTGGGCCCATTGTGCAGTCAGGCCACAGGTCCGGGACAGCTCACCCCGAGTGCAGCTGTGCCGGAGAACAGAATGACGGCTGCATCCGTCCTGCCTCTCCTCCATAAAGAAACCTCGTCATTTTATTTGCACTGCTGTGAAAAATCCCAAAGTTGATGCTACATTAAGTATCTGGGTCTCCTGCATTACCATAACTCTCATACCGGGGGTGCCCTCTCTCGCTGTTTCTTTAATTGAAAGTGCTAATGAATTGAGGCCTGATGGATGATGCCTTTAGGGTTAAGAAACATTTTTAAAAAATTCCCTTCAAATATTGAACCTTGTCATTTCCACCTAGACTCTTCCACAAATGGCAAAGTCCCTTAGCTGCAGAAATTCCTGCATCTTCTTTTGCCTTCGTGAACCTGTTACTTTCACCTCTGAACTGAATTTGAAAAATCATTTAAAACGAAAGCCAAATCATATTTTTGTTCTTTGGAGAGGTTTGTTAGTGAGTCAGATGGTGAAAAGAGCAGGCTGGCCTTCCTTTTCTTGCCTTTCTCGTCCCCATACAGTATCAAGGAAGAAGAAGCGAGACAGGGAGAAAAGATGCAAGAGGCGAGGCTTGACTGTGGAGGACTGTGAAAACACAGTTTGCAAGCCCTTCCTATTTGTCTCCTCTTTGGTTTTTTCCTAGTCACCCCTCCCCCCGCCTCCCCCGTAGGAA